AATCGAACATCAATATACCTTTAATAGAGTATTATTTGGGGGCGGTTAAGAGATATTAATCTTAAGACAGATGATTTGGAGTTGATCAAAGAGAATGATGATAAACCAACTTGGGATGTCAATGTTGGTTTGTCTGACAAGTTTAACAAGAATCTTGCAAGTGATTTGATGCTTTACATTTGTTGTCAACCTGTAGCAGCCATGGTATCACCAAAAGAGCTATGTGGTATAATTGTAAACAGCTATTACAATCGCTTGACTGCTAGTAAGCTTACTGAAGAAGACAGACAGACAAACACTACCTCAAACAGAAGAGGAAATAGAAAGACTGCTGTAAGCATTTCTATTTATAATAATTCAATTTTGACAAGTATACTTAAAATATTATATATCTCATAGCTTAATAAAAGGAGAAAAAAAATGTACACAAAGCATAAGGATGCCATTACTGAAAAGTTTAATTGGGATTATAATGGCGTTTTTTACAGAGATGCAATGTCTGGTGATGAGACAGAAACCGATACTTCTGTTGTTGCATCTCGTCCTGGTTGGCGTAGTGATGAGGTAATGTTTTATATAAAACGGTTTTTTTGTTGTTTGATTCCTGATGTATATATACATTTATAGTTGAATACCGTGTTTGACTTTCTTGATGAGCTCGCCAGAGATGACTTGGGAAAAAGAGCAACGCAGTTGAAGTTGCGGAGTCATGTGTTAGTACACGAGACAATTCCTCGTGGCTTGGTCACAAAAATGCCTACGTGGTCAAAACGCATATAATAAAATTTCTGTCTTTTTAGTTGCACTCTTTATCACATCTCTTTTTATGTCTATGAACTATGTTTTATATTATTATTATTATTTTAAAAAAAAGATAGAGTATTTTATTAAGCGTACAGCTTTCTTGGCAGAGGAATAACAACAACTTTTGCTGCACCACTACCAGACACATGACTTCCAATTGCAATTGGCGACAAGATGCGGTGGACAGGCAGAATGTTGTCGTAGTCATACTTCAGAAATTCTGGCTCATACAACTCAATGCCCTGCTTGATTCTAGATTGATGGCAAGGAATTTTGTACCACTCAACGAAGGCAAATACGTGTTGGGGGTTGTGACAAGGGAAAAGGTTGGTGTGCGTGAGGTTTGGTGTAAAATCGTGCAAGAACAAGTACTTAATACGACCAGCATATCTTTCCTCAGAGTCTCCACTTTTTTCAATAAATTTCGCTTGTATATGCGATCCTCTCACGACCAAACCTTCTCCACCTGTGTAAACTTGTCCAAGAAGATTGATGGACGAAATCTTCTGGATTCGGTCATTCACAAACCAACAATTCCTGATTGTTGTCTTGGCACTGCAAAGAGAATCATCGTCATACTCAATTTTATAGAAATCGAGCCGACAATCATACTCGGATTTTCTCATTTGTTGTGGTGGCTTCA